AAAATGTCGGAAATACTGGACCAAATTGTAAAGAAACCTGTATTCATCCACTCACTTTTGAAAGACGAATTAATTTGTGTYRCAAAGTTTTTGAAAGTTGAGGTAACACAAGCTACAAGAAAGGCAAAAATAAAAGAAGCCGTTATAAAGAATATCATCGATAATGGGATTGTCGAAGCTTCAGCGTTTGAAGAAGAAGACGAAGACGAAGATGAAATGAAAGACGACGAAGAAGATGAAGTAAAGCAAGAGAAGTCAGAAGACGTAGGAGTAGAAGGTAATCAATATGAATCAAAGTTAGACAAAGAGCACAAAAGAAAGTTAAAGGAATTAGAATTGCAATACAACTTTGAACTTGAAAAAGAAAGACTCAAAACTGAAGCTCAAATTAGACTTAAAGAACTTGACTTGAAGTTAGCGGAAACTCAGACTCAAAAGCCGGTTACGGACAATGCAAMACAATTTGATATAGCCAAAAACATTCGTCTAGTACCTACATTTAACGAAGATAGCGTCGATAAATATTTCACTCATTTTGAAAAGATAGCAGAAGCGTTAAAATGGCCTAGTGAACAGCGATGTTTGCTGTTACAAAGTGTCTTAATTGGCAAGGCACAAGAAGTTTATTCAGCCATACCTATCGATAAAAGTTCTGACTACGAATACGTAAAAAAGTCAATTCTCAACGCTTACCAACTAGTGCCGGAAGCTTACAGGCAGAAATTTAGAAATTTATCCAAGGAAAATGACCAARCGTATGTTGAATTTAGTAAAGAGAAAGAGTCATTGTTTGATCGTTGGTGCAAGTCCAATTGTGTCGGCGGAGATTATGAAAAACTGAAACAATTAATTTTACTAGAAGAATTTAAGCATTGTTTGCCACGAGAAGTTTCAACATACTTAGAAGAGCAAAAAGTATCTAATTTACATAAAGCTGCAGAATTAGCAGATGACTATGCTCTTACTCACAAAATGAACTTTAGTCAAGCCGCGACTAAACAAATCGCTATGAAAGAAAGCAATTTAAGAGAGCCTAATGAAGGTCATGCAAGTATGAAAGCAAAGAGTTCTAACGAACCGAAACAAGGTTTTCCAAAGTATTTTAAACCAGTGCCTATTGTAAGAAAAAAGGGCACGTGATTTCAGATTGTTGGACTTTGAAAAGAAAGAAAAACACAACTAATGTTGTTGCAAATATTATTGAAGTCTCTACAGATAAAGCATCAGATAAGCCAAGTAAACAAACGGAGACTGATTGATCTACGCCTAAAGAACTGAAACCATTTATATTTGAAGGAACAGTATCTTTACCTGATGTTGGCCAAAGTCAGAAGATAAAGATTTTGAGAGACACTGGTGCTACACAAAGTTTATTATTACAGAGAACGTTGCCATTCTCTGATGAATCTTCACTACATGAAAGTGTGTTAATCAATGGAATAGAAGGAGGATTTATTCAAGTTCCCCTTCACTCTATTAATTTAAAGTCTGATTTAGTTTCAGGAAACGTAACTGTTGGCATAAGGCCTACACTACCGGTTGCTGGAATCTCTATGTTGCTAGGAAACGACTTGGCGGGAGGTAATGTTATGTCACCACCACGTATGCTGGATGTACCAATGAGAAATAACGATTGCTGTTATGAATCGCCTCTGGTGTTTCCATCCTGTGCAGTGACACGTGCACAAGCCAAATTGCCGACAAGCACATATGAGTCTTTACATCTTGAAGAGTTATTCGCCGGGTACAAACAGACAGAGACATCAAAGCAGACAAAGTCAGCCAGAGAAACAATCTCAGACAAGGACAAAAAATCATCCACAGAACCAATAAATCAAGATGCCGGATCAACGACAGATCAAATATTTAACAAGAGACAACTCGTCATCGAACAAGGAAAAGATCCCAGCCTACAGTCACTCTACTTTCGAGCAGTTACCGAGCATGAAGCCAAAGATCAAGCAAGCTGCTATTATATGAAAGACAAAGTTTTGATGAGAAAATGGAGACCACCAACTGTCCCTCCTGATGAAGAATGGAACATCAAACATCAGATTGTGACTCCACAAAGATATCGAAGTGAAATATTGCATCTAGCCCACGACTCTCCGATGGCAGGTCACCTTGGTATTAGGAAAACCGCTGACCGAGTGCTAAAGCATTTCTACTGGCCAGGAATAAGAAGAGACATTACAATTCACTGCAGGACTTGCCGTACATGCCAAATGGTCGGAAAACCTAACCAAAAAATCCCACAAGCGCCATTAAAGCCAATCCCAGACTTTGAAGAACCATTTAGTAAAATCATTATTGACTGCGTTGGACCACTCCCAAAGTCAAGATCTGGATGCCAATACCTGTTAACCATCATGTGTGCGTCAACTCGTTATCCTGAGGCAATTCCACTGAGAATATAACTTCAAAGACGATTGTAAGGGAGCTTACAAAGTGTTTCACGACTTATGGTTTACCAAAGGAAGTACAGCACGACCAAGGTACCAATTTTATGTCTAGACTCTTCCAAGAAACCATGAATGAGCTTGGGGTCAGACAAATCCATTCCAGTGCCTATCATCCAGAGTCTCAAGGTGCTTTAGAGCGTTTTCATCAAACCTTAAAGAACATGATGAGAACATATTGTTATGAAAATGAGAAAGACTGGGACGAGGGTGTTCCGTTTTTGCTATTTGGAGCCAGAGAGGTTGTACAAGAATCACTGGGGTTTAGTCCTTTTGAGCTAGTGTTTGCACACGAAGTTCGTGGTCCACTTAAACTTATGAAAGAAACGTTGTTGGAGGAAAACAACAATTTAAATCTACTAAYTTTTGTTTCAACCTTTAAGGATCGACTAAGAAAGGCGTGTAAGTTTGCAAAGYAGAGTCTAGAAGGAACACAGAGATGCATGAAGACCTGGTACGATCGAAAATCCAAGCAGCGTAATTTCACAACAGGAGACAAGGTACTTGTATTATTACCTGTTACAGATAACTGTCTTAGTGCAAGGTACTCTGGGCCTTATAGAGTTACAAAGAAGATAAATGACACTGATTACGTCATAAACACTCCTGATCGTCGTAAGACTATGCCACATTAATATGCTTAAGCCATTTTACGAGGGGGAGGAAAAAGAGACTGGGTTATCTAGTTCTTTACAGGGAAAGGAAGTACTGGCCGTTGTTAAAGAAGAAGAGATGGAAGAAGTAGGGAACATACAAGGAAGTGTAAGATTACAAAATTCTGAAGTTCTAAATAACTTAGAGGATAAGCTATCTCATTTGCCTCGACAAAACTTTGGTGAGTTAAAGGAACTAATGTTAGACAATCAACAATTGTTTTCTGATGTTCCTAGTAGGACAAATGTCGTGCAACACGACATCGATGTCGGCGATGCATCGCCTATCAAGCAGAGTCCTTACAGAGTAAACCCATCCAAAATGGAAGAGATGAACAAAGAGGTGGATTACATGCTAGAAAATGACATTATTGAAGTTAGTCAAAGTAGTTGGAGCTCACCTTGTTTGTTGGTGCCGAAACCTGACAAAACATTTCGTGTTTGTACCGATTACCGCAAAGTGGACAGTCTGACAAAATCTGATTCATTTCCAATTCCTTATGTTGAGTCAATGATTGACCAGATTGGTTATGCCACTAATATTTCGAAAGTCGATTTATATAAAGGTTATTGGCAGGTACCCTTGACGGACAGAGCGAAGGAAATATCAGCGATGGTTACGCCCCAAGGCCTGTTTCAATACAAAGTTATGCCGTTTGGGTTAAAGAATGCACCTGCAACGTTCCAAAGGCTCATGAACACTGTAACTGCAGGTATACCCAATTGCTCATCTTACATTGACGATATTATTTTGTATCATTGCAGTTGGAAGGAACACCTACAAGGGTTAAGCCAACTGTTTAAGAGCCTTGCGGAAGCAAATTTAACTATCAACCTTGCAAAGTCGGAATTTGCGAAAGCCACCGTCACCTATTTAGGTCATGAGGTTGGTCATGGAAAAGTGAGACCTGTGAAGGCAAAAACAGAAGCAGTAATCAACTTCCCAGAGCCTACCAATAAGAGAGAACTTCAGCGTTTCCTAGGAATGATGGGATACTGGCGCAAGTTTTGCAGGAATTTCTCAGATGTCGCGCTACCGCTGACTGCTTTGACGAAAAAAGATGTCCCATTTCTCTGGAGTGGAGAATGCCAAAACGCCTTCCAGAATCTCAAAGCTATGCTCATCAGTCCTCCAGTTCTAGCAGCACCTAACTTCAGTAAGCCATTCAAGCTGATGGCCGACGCAAGCGAGTCGTGGTGCGGAAGTGTTCTATTACAGGAAGATGATTTTGGAATTGAGCATCCAGTTAGTTACTACTCGAAGAAGTTCAACACATCACAGAAGAACTACTCTACAATAGAAAAGGAATGCCTAGCTCTGATGATGTCCCTACAACACTTCGAAGTCTACATCGACAGTACAGCGACCGATGTTGAAGTTTACACCGACCATAATCCGTTAACATTCATCAACAAGATGAAGAACAGAAACCAACGCCTATTGAGATGGTCAATCGCACTACAGGAATACAACCTCATTATCAAGCACATCAAGGGAAAAGACAACACCTGTGCAGATGCCTTGTCAAGAATACATTGAAATGGAACATTTATTCAACTCTTGTAATATTGTAGTACTGTTATGTTCATGTAAGATAAAGAATCGGTTTAAAAGTTTAAATAACAATGATTGAATTCACTTAAATCCAATCTTTTCTCACCCTCGGAGGGATGTTATGTTATGTTATGTTATGTTCCCATGAGTAAACTTTGAATAAGTACTTAAGGCTAGGCAAGAAACCAATAAAGTAGTGTTGATGATCAAGAAAGGAGTTGTGTAGTGGTTTTCTTTACTACGACCCGTAACAGTTGGGGGGCTCAGACGTGTGTGGAATATCCAGATGGAAAATGTCGGAAATACTGGACCAAATTGTAAAGAAACCTGTATTCATCCACTCACTTTTGAAAGACGAATTAATTTGTGTCACAAAGTTTTTGAAAGTTGAGGTAACACAAGCTACAAGAAAGGCAAAAATAAAAGAAGCCGTTATAAAGAATATCATCGATAATGGGATTGTCGAAGCTTCAGCGTTTGAAGAAGAAGACGAAGACGAAGATGAAATGAAAGACGACGAAGAAGATGAAGTAAAGCAAGAGAAGTCAGAAGACGTAGGAGTAGAAGGTAATCAATATGAATCAAAGTTAGACAAAGAGCACA